TGTACAGAACCAAAGATATATTATGTAAGATCATAATCTGCTTGTACTCAAAGATCAGAACTACCAGGCCTTAAAAATGGCAATAGATACAGCTGTCACTGCCCTAGAAAAATCTGTTAGCTAATGGTTCTTAGGACAGGTAGGGCTCATGATTGAGTCCTATCATTGGTACTTGTGAAGGGGGGAATGTGAAGGGGCCCCAAAATAGCTTGAGCATGGGCTGGAGAGATGGCTCAGAGGTTAAGAGCACTGACTGCTCTTCCAGAGGTCCTGAGTTCAACTCCCAGCAACCACATGGTGGCTCATAACCATCTGTAGTGAGATCTGGTGCCCTCTTCTGGTCATACATGCTGTATACAAAATAAATAAATCTTTTAAAAAAAATTGGCTTGACCACATAGCAGCCATGACAGGCTTAGGAGCCTAGACACAGATTCTGTGACAGGCTTACTGGCAGGCAACACCCAGATCCAGGAAAAGCCTCAAGCTGATACCACCCAGGGATCTACCCAGGGGTGAGAAAGTACCTGACATCCCAAACATTCCAACCATTAGATAAGGTGGCCAGATGTCCTTGAGTCTAGCACACACCTATTTTTTGTTTTACAGATACCCCTAGACAATTGTCATCCAATCAGGGTCCTGGACCCTGGAAATCCCCTCACCCCAACCTCTGCTATGATAAAAACTCTGCCCCACCTGAGTTCAGGGCTCTCTGCTCTTACCGCTGTGTTGGACAGACAGAGGGACCAAGCTCTGGAGCTTGAAATAAAGGCTCTTTGCTTTTACATGTGGGGGCGGGGGGAGGGGATAGATGTGGGCAGGTGCTCAAGTTGGCTAGGTTCTGGCAGAACCTTCCTTAGGGTCCATTGTTATTCCAGAAAGAAAAGCACAGAAAAGAGGCTCCTTGTTCCCTTCTTTTTTTTTTTTTTTTGGTTTTTCGAGACAGGGTTTCTCTGTGTAGTTTTGCGCCTTTCCTGGAACTCGCTTTGGAGACCAGGCTGGCCTCGAACTCACAGAGATCCGCCTGCCTCTGCCTCCCGAGTGCTGGGATTAAAGGCGTGCGCCACCACCGCCTGGCTCTTGTTCCCTTCTTAAATGGATGGCTGCAACCTGATGCAGGGACTGGGCATGGAAAGACCTAGAATGCTGAGCTAATTTGGCCCTTGGTGAGGTAGGTTGTGTAGATGGATGAATTGTCAGTAGGAGGGGGAGAGATGCAGGCTGGGACCTGTCAATTCTTGTCTTCTTCCTTCACCTCACAGCCTCAGTCCACTGCCTCTGTTTCCCTGTGCCCTATACCCCGTACCTAGAGCTGGCTTCGAGGGTGCAGCAAGCTAGTGTTCTTCAATCCCTCTTCATTTTCACATGGGTTTAGAACTCACGCTCCATGTGAAGAGAGCGACTCTGAGATGCTGAATCTGACCAGGCCTGTGCTTTCCCCTCCTGGCTTTCTAAAGGAGGCCTGACGAAATGACACTGTACTGCTCCGAAACATTGCCTTCAGTGAGAGCAGAGGAAAACCAAACCAAGTCCTCGGAGCCTCCACTGGGCTTTCAGTGCCCAAGCCCTCAGAACTAGGAGACAGCACCGAGCTAAGAAGGAAGACTGTTAGCCAAGGAAGGCAAATCAAGGAAGTCTAGGAGGCAGGAAACCAGGTGAAATGTTTAACAAAACAACTGAGCATTCCCAAAAGTTAAAAGCAGAAAGGCTAAGAGTTCTCCAAAGCATTGCTTGACGTTAGGGAACAATGGGGCAAAGCATGAAATTAAAAAAATAATCATTGGTTTATTTGATGTGTGTGGATGTTTGCCCACATGTATGTCTGTGCCTAAGGAGCCCTTAGGTGTCTAGGGAGGCCAGGAAGGTGGATCACCTAGAACTGGAGTCACAGATGGTTGTGAACCAACATGTGGGTGTGAGGGATTGAACCTGGGTCCACTGAGCCAATCCTTTGGGTCAGCTGAGCCATCTCTCTAGTCCCACAGCATGGAGTTTTGAAGAAGCAATTATGTTTAACAACCCTAAGGCTGGGCACGGCGGTGCTTGATTGGAGTCCGGCACTCAGGCCTCTGAGGCAGAATGATCATGGGCTACAGAGGGACTTCTAGGCCAGCCTGAGTTACACAGAAAGACAGGGAAATCACCAGGACACGAGAAGGGAGAGAGTCTGACTGAAATTTCTTTTCTTTTTTTTTTTTTTTTTTTTGGTTTTTCAAGACAGGGCTTCTCTGTGTAGCTTTGCACCTTTCCTGGAACTCACTCTGTAGCCCAGGCTGGCTTTGAACTCACAGAGATCCACCTGGCTCTGCCTCCCGAGTGCTGGGATTAAAGGCATGCGCCACCACCGCCCGGCCTGACTGAAATTTCTTACCAGTTGAGAAGCAAGAAACGCGATCAATAGCATCAATCATGAAAGCTGCAGCCATAGGGTTAATATTCCTTTCATGGAAAGATATTTTCTGCTAAAGCAGCAATGACCCAGGCACAAGACCTGAATGCACATGACCTTGGATAGAGCCTCATTCATTTCCTCAGATGTTGCCTGAGAATCTCAAACAACTTTTGTTTGTTTACAGTGAGGATAATCTACCTCCAGAACTCCTCCTGGACAAGATTTACCTCACCAGACACCCTCAAGAAGCACCAAATGATAAGATAGTAACTTCATCAAAATCCTGTAGACTATTATAAAAACAGTGAATGGTTATGGACATGGTGGCAAGACAACTATTAATCCCAGGATCAGGAGGCAGAGGCTGGCAGGCAGGCAGGTCTCTGTGAGTTCCAGGCCAGCCAGCACTACACAGTGAGACCCTGTCTCAAAACCAAACCAAACCAAAAACAGTGAACCATGGTCATCTTTAAGAAACCACCACCCAGGGCGGGTGGTGGTGGCACAGGCCTTTAATCACAGCACTCGGGAGGCAGAGCTAGGCGGATCTCTGTGAGTTCAAGGCCAGCCTGGGCTGCAGAGCAAGATCTAGGACAGGTACCAAAACTACAGAGAGAGAAACCTTGTCTCGAAAGACAAACAAACAAACAAAAAAAGCTGTGCACAGTTCACTAGTTTGGGAGTATGTAGATATCCTGTTGGCGCTTTCGTAAGTAAGCATGTTCAGGGCTGGAGTGGTGATGCTCTCACAGATAAGAACCTGAACTAGGCCTACTGAGGCCCCTGAGTTTGATTCCTAGCACCTACATCAGGTGACTCAACTGCTTATAACTCCAATTCCGCTGGATGCAAAGCTTCTGGCCTCCCCAGGACAACTCCACCCACTAGTGCATAATACCAACATGCACACACATACCTACACATAATTAAAAAGAATGAAAATAAAATAAATCGTTAAGCTTTAAATAAAGTTTTTTTTTGTTTGTTTTGTTTTCTTTTGTCATTGTTTGAGACAGGGTTTCTCTGTGTAGCTTTGGAGTCTGTCCTGGAACTCCCTGTGTAGACCAGGCTGGCCTTGAACTCACGGGTATCCACTTGCCTCTGCCTACCAAGTGATGGGATTAAAGGTGTGAGCCACCACCGCCCGGCAAATAATTTTATTTTCTTCAATCTCAACGGATAAACAAAGTGAACAGGAAACTAAATGGAAATATAATTCTGTTGTTTAGAGAAAGGAGGCACTACAAATGTAAGAATCTGTCTGGTTAGGAAGCCACGTGTGTGGAGTTGCCTTCACTAAACGTGTCTTCCTTTGTCCTGCCCAGCTGTCTCGAGAGAGTAAAAGAAATTGGGAAGTCCAGTGTGCTGGAGCATGTCTCAATTCCTGCCTGGGCAGGCTGCTTAGCAAGACCCTGTCTCAAAACCGAAAGAAATAGAAGGAAAAAGGATGAGGAGACTTGTTATCTAGGGGCAAGCAACTCAGAGCTAAGGTGCAGGGAATAGGTGAGACTTAATTGGTGGTCTTGAAATTAGTTAAGAGTCTGTCCTGATGTTGGGTAGACTGTTGTCAATTCCCTGTGTTGTTCACTTAGGGTGTCTGCTCCTTCCCAACACATATGGTTTTTTTTTTTTTTTTTTTTTTTTTTTTTTTCTCTCTTCGAGACAGGATTTCTCAGTGTAGCTTTGCATCTTTCCAGGATCACTTTCTATAGAACAGGCTGGCCTCGAACTCACAAAGAACCGCCTGGCTCTGCCTCCCAAGTGCTGGGATTAAAGGAGTGGGCCACCACCGCCCAGCTACACATATGGTTTTCGTTTTGGTTTTTGTTTTTTTTTTTTCCTTTTTGCTTTGTTTGATTTTTTTGAGACAGCATTTCTCTGTGTAGCCATGGCTGTCCTGGAACTCTCTCTGTAGAGGAGGCTAACCTCGAACTCGCAGAAATCCACCTGCCTCTGCCTTCAGTGTGCTAGGTTTAAAGGCCTGTGCCACTGCACCAGGCCCCAATCCCTCTAGCTGCAGCATCCCTCTCCCTCAGGTGCAGCCAGTGTATCTGAGAAGCTTTGAGGGGAGGCGGGGCTTCTGGGAGTGGGATGCAAGGCCTGAGATCCAATTGGAAGGACAAGAGCAGGGCGGGGCTAGCAAACCGCCCTTGAAATAGGGCTCACCAGAGCTGCTTCTTTCGGGTTTGCTTTACTGAGTTTGGAGTTGCACAGGCTGTTTGCAACGATATTGGTACAGTATGGCCGCCTTCAAGAGCTTTAAGTCGCTCGTCCAGCTGCAACACCAAGAAGGGACTTTATTTAAAGTGGTCGGAGACTCTAGAAAGTTGCCCAAGTGGTTCCATACTGAGCATCTGGATGACCCAGAAACAGTGTACGTGGATGCTTGGCTCGTGGAAAAGATGTTTGGTGAGTAACCTGGGAAGGGAAGGCACAGGCAACCTTTTTCCTGACTATGTCTGAGTATGTCCTGTAGAGAAAGCCTGTCCAGTGGCTGTGGTCCCCGGCTTACACCACCTGACCCAGCTGCCTCAACTTCTCAACAAATGTGCCAAGAAGTGGAAGCCACCTGACCCTGATGTTCTTCCTTTTTCCTGCTCAGGTAAGGATGGAGAGTACATCCCGCATGTGGAGTGTGTGACACGTACCGTGCTTCACGTGAACCAGTGGAACCCTGAAGAGGAAGCTGAGATTTTGATATTCGGGCCTCCTGATTACCAAAAGGACGTTTCCCAGATGATCTGGAACTTGGTTGATTATTTCTGCAAGCAAGTAATACAAGGTATGGGCTGGTGGGAATAGGTAGGGTTGTCCGACTCGGCAAGCCTTGGCTCCTGAGGAGGGATCCACTGGGGAAAGTGGGTTTTGGAAATGTTGGAGGCCAGATAGCCTTGTGTTTAGGAACCTTTGGCCCCTACTCCTGCCATGTCCCGGGGTGACTGCCCTTACCAGTCTCCTTACACTGCTTTTCTTCCAACACAGAGGAAGACTGTTCTCAAGAAACTGAGACCCAGTGTCTTCCTATGGCGGTTCGGGGGGCTGCTACCCAGCCGGCTCCGGTTGATGTCTGTGATCCTACCACCCAGCAGGCTCCTGTGGAGGTCCCTGATGCTGCCACCCAGCTGTCTCCGGTGGAGGACGCTGAGGCTGCTATCCAGGTGGCTCCAAAGGAGGATGGTGATGCCACCCAGTTGGCTCCAGTTGAGAACACTGAGGCTGCCACCCACCTGGCTCCTGTGAAGGGAGCTGATGCCACCCAGCTGGCTCCCGTGGAGGACACTGATGCCGCCACCCAGCTGGGTCCTGTGGTGGTCCATGAGGAGGCTAGTGAAGCTGCCACGGTGCACACGTCAGGGGAGGTCCATCAGGATGTCACTAAGCAGTCTCGCATTGAAGTCTGAGACTGCCACCCTTCCTAGCAGCACTCGGTAGAGGTCTCTGAGGTGGTTCTTGGCTGGGGTTGCGGGTTGGGGGGTTTACCGGTGGGGGGTACCTAGAGTTCTCCAGTGGAGAACCATGAGACTGGAGCCCAGCAGTCTTTGGATGTTAGTATTGAGCCTCCAAAGACTGCCTGGGTCCAGTTACCAGGTTATAAAGGTGACTCAGGTGTTGAACCAGGATAAATGTACACCCTCTAATCACAACACTGGGAGGCAGAGGCAGGGGCTCTCTCATTCCAGGCTAGTCTGGGATGAATGAGGCAGTGATCTTTAATCCCTGTGGAAGTCTCCAGACATCTTTTTCTGATTGTTTCGCCCTAGAAGTTGGGAGAATGGAGTAGGATCGTTTGTTTTCCCTAGAAGTTGGGAGAATGGAGTAGGATCATTTGTTTTCCCCTTGTGTTCAGTGTTTGCAAACACAATAAAAAATATTCCAATAAAGAATTGCACCCCCAAGGTGTTATTTGGATGATAGAAAGGGAACAGTGCTTCATCGGTCAAGTGCTATTGGACACCCTCACTATCTTCCTGAGGGTGGAATCTTCTGGATTGTTTGTCCCCACCCCAACACTCACAGGATCAAAGGCTTCCCTTGTTCCTTAACCCAGTACATCTGATAGGGATGGAGCTGCCTTGCAAGGCTGTTGAGTCTCCACCTGCTCTTTGACTCAAGGTGACTGGGGTTTGCAACCTGGTAATTGTTGGACCCCAAAGTTTAGGGTCTCAAGTGGGTGCCCCAAGAACCCAGACTCCAGTCTAGTTGATGCAACAGCATGAGGAATTTATTGAAGCTTCTGTACAGAAGGGCAAACTCTGCTCCTAAGAGCAAGAGCCGCATCTTACTGCAGCCACATGGGGGTTTTTAAAGGAAAAGCCCACAAAACCCACAAGATTACAATTCCCATACAATTTCGTTTCACAAGATCATGGTCTGATCACAGTGGGTACAGTCACGTCAACAAGTACATTCTTCCTGAAATCTCAAGGAGGGTATCAGGGCGGGAGTGGAGTTTACACAAAGGTCACAGTGGTCCTTCCTGGAACACCTGCAACTATCCCAGTCACAGTTGAGCACATCTCTTAACAGAAATCTTTTTACATTATTACATTGTTACAGGGGTGGTTGAATAATGGCTGAGTCAGGTGGCCCTTGGAACTAGTTTTTTTTTTTAGTTCCTTATTTCCTGGGGCTTGCGGGTGGGTGTAAGCCTGAAGGGTTAGGGTCTTTCATTGATTTGACAAAAACTGGCATCGAAAGGTCCATTTGGTTGTATCTAGTTGCCACTAGCTATTTCTGCTTTTGGTTGGTGTCCCTCTGGAGGGGGATTGGAGAGCTGGGACTGGAATACTGTTATCTTAGGGTCATCTCAATTTCCTGAACTTGGAGAGCTTGTGGGTTGAGTCTCCTTAGGAAGTCTGAGGTGGGGGCTGGAGAGATGGCTCAGAGGTTAAGAGCCCTGGCTGTTCTTCCAAAGGTCCTGAGTTCAATTCCCAGCAACCACATGGCGGCTGAAAAACATCTGTAATGAGATCTGGTTTCCTCTTTGGGCCTGCAGGGATACACTGTATACATAATAAATAAATCTAAAAAAAAGTCTGAGGTGGCTGGGTAGTGGAGGTGCATGCCTTTAATCCCAGCATTTGCGAGGCAGAGGCAGGTGGATCTTGAGTTTCAGGCCAGCCTGGTGTACAGAGCAAGATCCAGGACAGGCACCAAAACTACACAGAGAAACCTTGTCTTGAAAAACAAACTGTGTACAGTTCACTAGTTTGTAAGTATGTAGATATCTTGTTGGAGCTTTCGTAAGCAAGAGAGTTCAGGGGCTGGAGTGGTGATGCTCTCACAGATAAGAACCTGAACTAGGCCTACTGAGGCCCCTGAGTTTGATTGCTAGCACCTACATCAGGTGACTTATCTGCTTATAAGTACAATTCCGCTGGATGCAAAGCTTCTGGCCTCCCCAGGACAACTCCACTCACTAGTGCATAATACCAACATGCACACACATACCTACACATAATTAAAAAGGAATGAAAATAAAATAAAACTTAAAGCTTTAAATAAAGTTTTTTTGTTTTTTGTTTTGTTTTTTTGGTTGTTTGAGACAAGGTTTCTCTGTGTAGCTTTGGAGTCTGTCCTGGAACTCGCTGTGTAGACCTGGCTGGTCTTGAACTCAAAGAGATCAACCTGCCTTTGCCGCCCAAGTGATGGGATTAAAGGTTTGAGCCACCACTACCCGGCAAATAATTTCACTTTCTTCAATCTCAATGAATAAACAAAGTGAACAGGAAACTAAATGCAAATATAACTCCATTGTTTAGAGAAAGGAGGCACTACAAATGTAAAAATCTGTCTGGTTAGGAAGCCACGTGTGTGGAGTTGCCTTCACTAAACGTGTCTTCCTTTGTTCTGCCCAGCTGTCTCGAGAGAGTAAAAGAAATTGGGAAGTCCAGTGTGCTGGAGCATGTCTCAATTCCTACCTGGGCAGGCTGCTTAGCAAGACCCTGTCTCAAAACCGAAAGAAATAGAAGGAAAAAGGATGAGGAGACTTGTTATCTAGGGGCAAGCAACTCAGCTAAGGTGCATGGAATGGTGAGACTTAATTGGTGGTCTTGAAGTCAGGTAAGAGTCTGTCCTGATGTTGGGTAGACTGTTGTCAATTCCCTGTGTTGTTCACTTAGGGTGTCTGCTCCTTCCCAACACTTACGGTGTTTTTTTTTTTTTTTTTTTTTTTTTTTTCCCCTTGAGACAGGGTTTCTCTGTGTAGCTTTGTACCTGTCCTGGATCTCTTTCTATAGACCAGGCTGGCCTTGAACTCACAGAGATCTGCCTGGCTCTGCCTCCCAAGTGCTGGGATTAAAGGAGTGCCCCACCACCGCCCAGCTACACATATGGTTTTTTGTTTTTTTCCTTTTTGCTTTGTTTGATTTTTGAGACAGCATTTCTCTGTGTAGCCCTGGCTGTCCTGGAACTCTCTCTGTAGAGGAGGCTAACCTCGAACTCACAGAGATTCACCTGCCTCTGCCTTCAGTGTGCTGGGTTTAAAGGCCTGTGCCACTACACCAGGCCCCAATCCCTCTAGCTGCAGCATCCCTCTCTCCCAGGTGCAGCCAGTGTATCTGAGAAGCTTTGAGGGGAGGCGGGGCTTCTGGGAGTGGGACGCAAGGTCTGAGATCCAATTGGAAGGACAAGAGCAGGGCGGGGCTAGCAATCCGCCCTTGAAATAGGGCTCACCAGAGCTGCTGCTTTCGGGTTTGCTTTACTGAGTTTGGAGTTGCACAGGCTGTTTGCAATGATATTGGTACAGTATGGCCGCCTTCAAGAGCTTTAAGTCGCTCGTCCAGCTGCAACACCAAGAAGGGACTTTATTTAAAGTGGTCGGAGACTCTAGAAAGTTGCCCAAGTGGTTCCATACCGAGCATCTGGATGATCCAGAAACAGTGTATGTGGATGCTTGGCTCGTGGAAAAGATGTTTGGTGAGTAACCTGGGAAGGGAAGGCACAGGCAACCTTTTTCCTGACTATGTCTGAGTATGTCCTGTAGAGAAAGCCTGTCCAGTGGCTGTGGTCCCCGGCTTACACCACCTGACCCAGCTGCCTCAACTTCTCAACAAATGTGCCAAGAAGTGGAAGCCACCTGACCCTGATGTTCCTCCTTTTCCCTGCTCAGGTAAGGATGGAGAGTACATCCCGCATGTGGAGTGTGTGACACGTACCGTGCTTCACGTGAACCAGTGGAACCCTGAAGAGGAAGCTGAGATTTTGATATTCGGGTCTCCTGATTACCAAAAGGACGTTTCCCAGATGATCTGGAACTTGGTTGACTATTTCTGCAAGCAAGCAATACAAAGTATGGATTAGGGTTGTTCTGCCCGGCAAGCCTTGGCTCCTTAGGAGGGATCCACTGGGGAAAGTGGGTTTTGGAAATGTTGGAGGCCAGATAGCCCTGTGTTTAGGAACCTTTGGCCTCTACTCCTGTACGTCCCAGGGGTGACTGCCCTTACCAGTCTCCTTACACTGCTTTTCTTCCAACACAGAGGAAGACTGTTCTCAAGAGACTGAGACCCAGTGTCTTCTTGTGGCAGTTCGGGAGTCTGCCACCCAGCTGCCTCGATGGAGGACGCTGAGGCTGCTCCCCAGCAGGCTCCCATGGAGGACCCTAAGTCTGCCCCCCAGTGTCTCCGGTGGAGGATGCTGAGGCTGCCCCCCAGCTAGCTGCCTCTGGTGGAGGCCGCAGAAGTTGCCACCCAGCTGCCTTCTGTGGACGACACTGATGCTGCCACTGAGGTGTCCCTGCTGGAGGATGGTGATGTCACCCGAGCCAGCTGGGTGAAGGACAGTACTGCCACCCAGCTGGCTCTGGTGGAGGACGCTGATGCTGCCACCCAACTGGTTCCTGTGGTGGTCCATGAGGAGGCTAGTGAAGCTGTCAAAACCCATACTTCATGGGAGATCCATCAGGATGTCACTAAGCAGTCTCCCATTGAAGTCTGTGAGGCTGACACCCTCCCTAGCAGCGCTCTGTAGAGGTCTCTGAGGTGGTTCTTGGCAGGGGTCGCAGGTTTGGGGGTTTACCGTTTGGGGGGTACCCAGAGTTCCTCAGTGGAGAACCATGTGACTGGAGCCCAGCAGTCTTTGGATGTTAGTATTGAGCCTCCAAAGGCTTCCTGGGCCCAGTTACCAGGTTATAAAGGTGACTCAGGTGTTGAACCAGGATAGATGTACACCCTCTAATCATAACACTGGGAGGCAGAGGCAGGGGGTCCCTAGTTCCAGGCTAGTCTGGGATGAATGAGGCAGTGATCTTTAATTCCTACGGAAGTCTCCTGACATCTTTTTCTGATTGTTTCGCCCTAGAAGTGGGAGAATGGAGTAGGATTGTTTGTATCCCCTAGTGTTCAGTGTTTGCAAACACAAAAAATATTCCAATAAAGAATTGCATCCCCAGGGTGTGTTATTGGGATGGTAGAAAGGGAACAGTGCTTCATCGGTCAAGTGCTGTTGGACACCCTCACTATCTTCCTGAGGGTGGAATCTTCTGGATTGTTTGTCCCCACCCCAACACTCACAGGAACAAAGGCTTCCCTTGTTCCTTAACCCAGTATATCTGATAGGGATGGAGCTGCCTTGCAAGGCTGTTGAGTCTCCACCGGCTCTTTGACTCAAGGTGACTCACATGGACAGGGGTTTGCAACATGGTTTTTTGACAAAAACTGGCTTTGAAAGGTTCATTTGGTTGTATCTAGTTGCCACTAGCTACTTCTGCTTTTGGTTGGTGTCCCTCTGGGAGGGGCATTGGAGGACTGGGACTGGAATGCTGTTATCTTAGGGTCATGTGAATTTTCTGAACTTGGAGAGCTTGTGGGTGAGTCTCCTTCGGAAGTCTGAGGTGGCTGGGCAGTGGTGGTGCACGCCTGTAATCCCAGCATTTGCGTCGCAGACGCAGGTGGATCTTGAGTTCCAGGCCAGCCCTTGTACAGTGCAAGGTTCAGGACAGGCACCAAAACTACACAGAGAGACCTTGTCTTGAAAAACAAATTGTGCACAGTTCACTAGTTTGTAAGTATGTAGATATCCTGTTGGACCTTTCCTAAGCAAGAGAGTTCAGGGACTGGAGTGGTGATGTTTTCACAGTTAAGAAGCTGAACTAGGCCTACTGAGGCCCCTGATTTTTTTCCTAGCACCTACATCAGGTGACTCAACTGCTTATAACTCCAATTCCGCTGGATGCAAAGCTTCTGGCCTCCCCAGGACAACTCCACTCACTAGTGCATAGTACCAACATGCACACACACCTACACATAATTAAAAAGAATGAAAATAAAATAAATCGTAAAGCTTTGAATATAACGTTTTTATTTATTTTTGTTCATTGTTTGAGACAGGGTTTCTCTGTGTAGCTTTGGAGTCTGTCCTGGAACTCCCTGTGTAGACCAGGCTGGCTTTGAACTCAGAGATCCACCTGCCCCAGCCTCCCAAGTGCTGGGATTAAAGGTGTGAGCCACCACTGCCCGGCAAATAATTTCATTTTCTTAAATCTCAACAGATAAACAAAGTGAACAGGAAACTAAATGGAACAATAGAATTATATTTCCATTTAGTTTCCTGTTCACTTTGTTTATCTGTTGAGATTTAAGAAAATGAAATTATTTGCCGGGCAGTGGTGGCTCACACCTTTAATCCCAGCAAATTCTGTTGTTTAGAGAAAGGAGGCACTACAAACGTAAGAATCTGTCTGGTTAGGAAGCCACGTGTGTGGAGTTGCCTTCACTAAACGTGTCTTCCTTTGTTCTGCCCAGCTGTCTCGAGAGAGTAAAAGAAATTGGGAAGTCCAGTGTGCTGGAGCATGTCTCAATTCCTACCTGGGCAGGCTGCTTAGCAAGACCCTGTCTCAAAACCGAAAGAAATAGAAGGAAAAAGGATGAGGAGACTTGTTATCTAGGGACAAGCAACTCAGAGCTAAGGTGCATGGAATGGTGAGACTTAATTGGTGGTCTTGAAGTCAGGTAAAAGTCTGTCCTGATGTTGGGTAGACTGTTGTCAATTCCCTGTGTTGTTCACTTAAGGTGTCTGCTCCTTCCCAACACATACGGTGGTTTTTTTTTTTTTTTTCTCTCTTCGAGACAGGGTTTCTCTGTGTAGCTTTGTACCTGTCCTGGATCTCTTTCTATAGACCAGGCTGGCCTTGAACTCACAGAGATCTGCCTGGCTCTGCCTCCCAAGTGCTGGGATTAAAGGTGTGTGCCACCACCGCCCAGTTACACATATGGTTTTTGTTTTGTTTTTTTTGAGACAGGGTTTCTCTGTCTGGCTTTGGGCCTTTTCGGGAACTCACTTGGTAGCGCAGGCTGGCCTTGAACTCACATAGATCAGCTTGGATCTGCCTCCCAAGTGCTGGGATTAAAGGTGTGTGCCATCACCGCCCAGCTACACATATATTTTTGTTTGTTTGTTGTTTTTGGTTTTTTTTTTAGACAGGGTTTTGCTGTGTAGCTTTGCGCCTGTCCTGGAATTCACTCGGTAGCCCAGGCTGGCCTTGAACTCACATAGAGCCGCCTGGCTCTGCTTCCCAAGTGCTGGGATTAAAGGCGTGGGCCACCACCGCCCTGCCACATGTTTTTTTTTTTTTTTCCTTTTTGTTTTGTTTGATTTTTGAGACAGCATTTCTCTGTGTAGCCCTGGCTGTCCTGGAATTGTAGAGGAGACTGCTTTTGAACTCACAGAGATCCACCTGCCTCTGCCTGGGTTTAAAGCCCTGTGCCACTACACCAGGCCCCAATCCCTCTAGCTGCAGCATCCCTCTCTCCCAGGTGCAGCCAGTGTCTCTGGGAGGCTTTGAGGGGAGGCGGGGCTTCTGGGAGTGGGATGCAAGGCCTGAGATCCAATTGGAAGGACAAGAGTGGGGCGGGGCTAGCAAACCGCCCTTGAAATATGGGTCACCAGCGCGGACTCTTTAGGGTTTGCTTTACTGAGTTTGGAGTTGCACAGGCTGTTTGCAACGATATTGGTTTAGTATGGCTGCCCATAAGAGCTTTAAGTCTCTCGTCCAGCTGCAACACCAAGAAGGGACTTTATTTAAAGTGGTCGGAGACTTTAGAAAGCTGCCCAAGTGGTTCCATCCCGAGCATCTGGATGATCCAGTAATAGTGTACGTGGATGCTTGGCTCGTGGAAAAGATGTTTGGTGAGTAACCTGGGAAGGGAAGGCACAGGCAACCTTTTTCCTGACTATGTCTGAGTATGTCCTGTAGAGAAAGCCTGTCCAGTGGCTGTGGTCCCCGGCTTACACCACCTGACCCAGCTGCCTCAACTTCTGAACGAATGTGCCAAGAAGTAGAAGCCACCTGACCCTGATGTTCCTCCTTTTCCCTGCTCAGGTAAGGATGGAGAGTACATCCCGCATGTGGAGTGTGTGACACGTACCGTGCTTCACGTGAACCAGTGGAACCCTGAAGCAGAAGCTGAGATTTTGATATTCGGGCCTCCTGATTACCAAAAGGACGTTTCCCAGATGATCTGGAACTTGGTTGACTATTTCTGCAAGCAAGCAATACAAAGTATGGATTAGGGTTGTTCTGCTCGGCAAGCCTTGGCTCCTTGGGAGGGATCCACTGGGGAAAGTGGGTTTTGGAAATGTTGGAGGCCAGATAGCCCTGTGTTTAGGAACCTTTGGCCCCTACTCCTGTACGTCCCAGGGGTGACTGCCCTTAGTCTCCTTACACTGCTTTTCTTCCAACACAGAGGAAGACTGTTCTCAAGAGACTGAGACCCAGTGTCGTCCTGTGTCTGCCACCCAGTTGTCTCATTGGAGAAAGCTGAAACCGCCACCCAGCTGGCTCCCGTGGAGGTTCCTCACTCTGCATTCCCAGCTGTCTCCAGTGGAGGACGCTGAGGCTGCTACCCAACTGGCTGCGGTTGAGGTTCGTGTTGCTGCCACCCAGCAGGCTCCCGTGGAGGAATCCGAGGCTGCCCCCCAGCTGTCTCCTGTGGCGGATGCCGAGGCTGCCCCCGAGCTGTCTCCGGTGCAGGGCGCAGAGGCTGCCACCCAGCAGGCTCCGGTGGAGGACCCTGAGGCTGCCACCCAGGTGTCTCCGGTGGAGCACGCCGAGGCTGCCACCCAGGTGTCTCCGGTGGAGCACGCCGAGGCTGCCACCCAGGTGTCTCCGGTGGAGCACGCCGAGGCTGCCACCCAGGTGTCTCCGGTGGAGCACGCCGAGGCTGCCACCCAGCAGGCTCCGGTGGAGGACGCTGAGGCTGCCATCCAGCTGGCTCCTGTGGGTGACTCTGAGGCTTTCACTCACCTGTCTCCTTTGGAGGACGCTGAGACTTTCACCCACCTGGCTCCGGTGGAGGTCAGTGATGCCGCCACCCAGCTGGGTCCTGTGGCGGTCCATGAGGCTAGTGAAGGTGCCACCGTGCACACTTCATGTGAAGTCCATCAGGATGTCACTAAGCAGTCTGCCATTGAAGTCTGTGAGGCTGCAACCCCCCCTAGCAGCACTCTGTGGAGTTTTCTGTGGTGGTTCTTGCCAGGGGTGGTTGTGGATGAGGGTGGGTGTTGTGGGGATGTACCTAGGGAGAGTACCTAGAGTTGTCTAGTGGAGATCCATGAGACTGGAGCCCAGCAGTCTTTGGATGTTAGTATTGAGTCTCCAAAGTCTGCCTAGGAACTAGTTACCACCTTATAAAGGTGACTCAGCCAGGATAAATGTACACACTTCTAATCCCAGCACTGGGAGGCAGAAGCAGGGGGTCCCTAGTTCCAGGCTAGTCTGGGATGAATGAGGCAGTGATCTTTAATCCCTGCGGAAGTCTCCTGACATCTTTTTCTATAGAAGTTGGGAGAATGGAGTAGGATCGTTTGTTTTCCCTTGTGTTCAGTGTTTGCAAACACAATTAAAAATATTCCAATAAAGAATTGCACCCCCAAGGTGTGTTATTTGGATGGTAGAAAGGGAACATTGCTCCATCAGTCAAGTGCTGTTGGACACCCTCACTATCTTCCTGAGGGTGGAATCTTCTGGATTGTTTGTCCCCACCCCAACACTCACAGGAACAAAGGCTTCCCTTGTCCCTTACCCAGTATATCTGATAGGGATGGAGCTGCCTTGCAAGGCTGTTGAGTCTCCAGGGGCTCATTGACTCTAGGTGACTCGCGTGGACTCGGGTTTGCAACATTGTTATTTGACAAAAACTGCCTTTGAAAGGTCCATTTGGTAGTATCTAGTTGCCACTGCCTAATTCTGGTTTTGGCTTGTTCCCTTCTGGCAAGGGACGTTTGGAGGGCTGGGACTGGAATGCTGTTATCTTAGGGTCATGTGAATTTCCTGAACTTGGAGAGCTTGTGGGTTGAGTCTCCTTAGGAAGTGAGGTGGCTGGGGGGGGGGGGTGCATGCCTGTAATTCCAGCATTTGGGAGGCAGAGGCAGGTGGATCTTGAGTTTGAGGGTATCCTGGTCTACAGAGAGTTCCAGGACAGTTAAACAAGTCTGAGGTGGAGGCAGCTGAGTGTTCTAGATTTTCACAGAAGTATTCAACTGGTAGGGCTAACAGCTAGCAGGAATAATTATTTTTCATTTAAAAATGCCAGGAGGCAAGGTTGTGCTGTTGCATGCCTTTAGTCCCAGCCCTTGGCAGTCTCGAGCAGGCAGACCTCTGGAAGTTCAGGGTCATCCTGGTTTACTCAGCAAGTTCTAGGATAGCCAGAGCCGCACAATGAGACCTTGTATCAAATTCTAGGAGATAGCCTGGCAGTGGTGGCGCATGCCTTTAATCCCAGCACTCAGTAGGCAGAGCCAGGTGGATCTCTGAGTTCGAGGCCAGCCTGGGCTACAGAGTGAGATTCAGGACAGGCACCAAAACTACACAGAGAAACTCTGTCTTGAAAAACAAACAAAAATCACTGAGGAGTGGAGAGCAAAGCTTGGGTTTGTCACACGTGAGACAGAACTTGCAACTTCTGGGTGACAGGTGAATGTAGAGATGACTTGAGGATGGGATACCGACTTTAAGGAACCTCTCTGTGGCCAGGCTTTCTCTCTGAGGCAGAGTCTCACTGTAGCTCTGGCTGGCCTATGACTCACACTACAGTCCAGGTTGGCTTAGAACTGGAGATCTGTTTGCCTCTGCCTCCTGAGTGCTAGGTAAAAAGATTCTTCAGGCCGGGTGTGGTGGCACACGCCTTTAATCGAAGCACTTGTGAGGCAGAGCCAGGCGGATCTCTGAGTTCAAGGCTAGCCTGGGCTACAGGAAAGGCGCAAAGCTACACAGAGAAACCCTGTCTCAAAAAAAAAAATTCTTCAGAATGAAATCTTTTACTTTTGCTATGATGTAGCATAGTACTAATAGTACTAAGTACTCCCCTGCATGCACAAGGCCCTGACTTTGATCTCTAGCACCAAAGGAAACAGATGCAGGTGATTTTATCTGTTTTCTTGAGAAGAGATCTCATTATGTAGCCCTGGCTGGCCTGAAACTCGGCTCTGCCTGCCTCTCCTGGGATTAAAGACATGTGCCACCACATCAGGTCTTCATTTCGTTAGTGGAAACAGGGTGACTATAGCCCAGGCCTTGAACTCATGTAGCTGCAGAATCAGCTTTTTTTTTTTTTTTTTTTTTTTTTTTGAGACAAGATCTTTGTAGCACTGGCATTTCTGGAACAAGCTGTAGAACAGGTTGGCTTTGAACTCAGATCTGCCTGCCTCTGCCTCCTGAGTGCTGGGATTAAAGGAGTCTACCACCACCACCACCCAGCTGACCCTGAACTCTTGATCTACCTGTCTCTACCTCCTAAATGATGGGGTTATAGGAGTATGATACTGCATCTGGCCAGTTTTCAAGATTTTAGACCATAACTATTTAATTTTTTTCTCGGAGCTGAGGACCGAACCCAGGGCCTTGCGCTTGCTAGGCAAGCGCTCTACCACTGAGCTAAATCCCCAGCCCCAAATTTCGAGCCCAGCAAACCATGGAGAACAAGCCAGTAAGCAGGGCTCCTCCGTGGCCTCTGATTCAGCTCCTGCCTCAGGTTCCAGCCTTGAGTTCCTACTGACTTCTCTCAGCCATGGGCTCTTTTTTTTTTTTTTTTTTTTTGAGACAGGGTTTCTCTGTAGTTTTGTGCCTTTCCTGGAACTCACTTTGTAGACCAGGCTGGCCTCGAACTCCCAGAGATCTGCCTGCCTCTGCCTCCCGAGTGCTGGGATTAAAGGCGTGCGCCACCACCGCCTGGCCATAACTATTATCTTTTACCTTTCATAAACAGTATAAATGGGTTTCATGGTGGTATGGACTTTGACATTTGCCGTAAGTACCTTTGTCCCCATCTTAGGGTTTCTATTGTGGCAACAAAACACACCGTGATCAAAAAGCAAGTTGCTTTTTGCATTTGTTGCTTACCTTTTAGCATTTGTTCATCACTGAAGGAAGGCAGGGCAGGAACTCAAGCAGGGCAGGGTCCTGGAGGCAGGAGCTGATGCAGAGGCCATGGAGGGGTGCTGCTTACTGGCTCGCTTCCCATGGCTTGCTCAGGCCACCTTAGAGAACCCAGGACCAGCAGCCCAGGGATGGCACCACACACTATGGGCTGGGCCCTCCCCCATTGATCACTAAATGAGAAAATGCCTTATTGCTGGATCTCACGGAGACATTTCTTCAACTGAGGGTCCTTCTGATGATGCTAGCTTGTGTCAGGTTGACACACAAAACCAGCCAGTACAGTCTCTTTCCGCTTTTAGTTTATTTGCATTGAGATCCTCTGTAATGCAAGAAAATGTGTGAGGTTCGTCTTTCTGAAATGGCCTTTAAATTTTTTGATGTGTTGCCCTTCATCTGTTTTCCTGTAAATGCCTTCCTCTCCCACAGGTCTTGGTCTGCTGGCTTGTGGAGGTTTCACTGCTCCAGCCTCCAAAGCAGTAGGATTGATTACACTACATTACTCTCGGCAGGTTTCATGGGGTTGTGACAGGGTCTCCCACTGTAGCCGAGGCTGGCCTGGGACTTGTGGTAATGCTCCCTCCTCAGCTTCCTAAGTGATGGGACTATAGGTTCTTGCGGGGATAGGAAGTAAGGGTTGTGATGGTCTCATGAAGCCCGGGTTATCGAGTTTGCTACATAGTGGAAGATGACCTTGAATTTCTGGCTTTCCTGCCTCTGTTTCCCAATGCTGGGATTACAGTGCACCACCGCAGGAGTTTTCAGATTCCTGTTTTACAGGAAAGACTACAAAGTCGCAGATCGGGAATGAAATGGATACAGTGAAGAAACCCAAACAGCCACTCCATGGGTGAAAAAGAAAGTTATTCTAAATTGCCAAGGCTGTGTCTCCAGGAGAGCAGAAGAGGGCAGGGGGAGCTGGAGGGGGTATTATGACATCTCCTGGGTTTTATGGGACCTAGGAGGGAGGGAGCCTGTGAGCTAGATGAGGGCTTGGGTAGGGACTGAGGGGTCAACCTTGACGTGCTAATAGGCACCACAGTTGTGTTAATGAGAGCCATACATCCCTTTGCCAGAGAGAATGACTCCTTTTAGCAGAAGGAACTATCTTCAAGCCCCCTTTTTTCCAGAGATAAGGGGAATTCTTTTTACAGGTAGGAACTATCAAGTCCCTGAGGGAATGCTGGCTTTCACAGATGTGTCTGAGGGGACTTTGAAAGGAATATGGTAATGTGTGCAAGAAATGTCCTTGGTTGGAGACAGTACAAGAGGCCTGATTCTCCTCTCTTCCGTGTGTGTTTGTGTGTGTGTGTGTGTGTGTGTGTATAACTAGCATTTTGAACATATCAGGCAGGTACTCTATAACTGGGCTATTCCCAGACACTTTTTTTTTTTTTTTTTGAGACATGGTCTTATAGCCCAGGCTGACCTGGTATTCATTATATAGCCAAGGATATCATTGAATTTCTGATCCTTTTGCCTCCACCTTCCAAGAGCTAGGATATAGGTGTGTGCCACCACCAGGCAGATCAACTGCTCTTAAGCACAGAGCCATATCTCCAGCCTTATGTACATTATTTTTTTAAAAATATATTTATTTTATTATGTATACCATGTTCTGCCTGCATGTATCTCTGCAGACCAGAAGAGGGCACCAGATCTCATTACAGATGGCTGTGAGCCACCCTGTGGTTGCTGGGAATTGAACTCAGGACCTTTGGAAGAACAGTCAGTGCTCTTAACTGCTGAGCCATCTCTCTAGGCCCCTCGTGTAAATTAATTTTAAAATTAAGATACCGGTCTCTTCCCTCTCCCTCACTAATATCCACTCTGCCCCAGTCTTGCTGTGTTGCCAAAGATATCTACGCTGGCTAGTTTTTATGTCAATATGACACAAGTAACAGTCATTACGGAAGTGGGGACCTCAGCTGAGAAGCTGGGTGGTGGTGGTACACACCTTTAATCCCAGCACTCAGATTCTGAGTTCAAAGCCAGCCTGGTCTATTGAGTCAGTTCCAGGACAGCCAGGGCTACACAGAGAAACCCTGCCTCAAAAAACCCAAAATAATAAAACCAGTTTGTCCTTCATCTTGTGGTGAACTCCAACCACAAAATTATTTCTTTGCTGCATTGTAACTGATTTTGCTACTGTTATCTTTTTTTTTTTTTTTTTTTGGTTTTTCGAGACAGGGTTTTTCTGTGTAGTTTTGGTGCCTATCCTGGATCTCACTCTGTAGACCAGGCTGGCCTTGAACTCCCAGAGATCTGCCTGCCTCTGCCTCCGGAGTGCTGGGATTAAAGGTGTGCACCACCACCGCCACCGGGCTCTGTTATGAATCTTAATGTAAATAACTGATATGCTACCCTCAAGGGGGGGGTCGAGACCCTAGGACTATCAGCGTGGCTATATATCCATTATACAAAAATGTAGAAAACAGTTTACAGACTAAAAGGAGCAGTTAGAGACTGGAAGTGTCCTAGTTATTTTTCTGTTACCATGAGAAAACACCATAACCAAGGCAGCTCACAGAAGCCTTTGGTGGTGCTTACAGTTTCAGGAGGAGTCCATGACTGCCATAGCAAAGAGCATGGCAGCCGGCAGGCGTGGCACTGGAGCAGCAGCTGGACGCTTACAGCCAAGCACAAGGTAGAGAGGGCAGTAACGAGGTGTGGTATATGGGCTCTTAACCTCAAAGTCACGCCAGGGGCACTCCCAACAAGGCCAAGACAGGCAGACAACTTATTTCATTCTTCAGTTGCACAGTCTGGGAACTGAGGCCCAAGGCATCAGAATTTTGATGTTCTGTTCAGTGAGATCAACTCAGGGGCGGAAGACCATATGGATTTTGGGGATATGGTCAATGGTAGATACTTGCCTAGCATGCTCAAGTCCTTGGGTTTGATTCTAGCACACGGGAAAAGTGGTAAAACTACTAACTTTTGGTCAGGATGATAGGCCAGGCCAGCAGGATAGGAAGGTAGGCAAGCCTGCAGAGCAGCTTTGTATAGTCTGAGATCCATAACACAGGGCATATGCCATTGTCAATTTTCTCGGAGCCACACTTCAAAACCTGAAAAAACAGGCAAAAGTTTTCCTCTTTCTTTGACAAGGGCTCAACAAGTAGTTGTGGCTTACAGGAAACTTGCTAAGTAATGTCTAGAACCTACAGAGGTCTCTCCTGCAGCCTACCTTTGCATCCTGAGTGCTGGTGTTAAGGACATGCACCACTGCACTTAGCCAAAAATGTAACAGTATGATTTATTTAAACATATTTTAAATATTCCAACATGCGATCAACATACATATAAATTCCGAGCCAGGTATGGCGGCACACCTCTATAAGACCAGCATGGAAGCGGAAGGATTGTGATTTCCAGGCACCCTCAATTACATATTGAGATGTCTACCTCAAACAGAATGAGGTGCTGGAGAGATGACTCAGTGGTTAAGAACACTGGCTGCTCTTCCAGAGGACTCCGGTTCTACTCCCAGCACCCACATGGAGGCTCACAACTATCTACTAACTCCAGTTCCAGTGGATCCTACGCCATCTTCTGGCCTTGGCTGGCACAGCACACACACCGTGAACATGCAAAGCAAGCAAAACACACAAAATACAGATTGAAAAGCCAAGCCCGGTAGCGCACCCCTTTAATCTCACTCCTAGGCAGGCAGATCTCTATTCGTTCGAGGCCAGCCTGGCTTACGGAACCAGTTCCAGACTACGCAAAGTGAGACCCTGTCAAAAATACAAAACGAGGATAAGGGGCCCGAGAGCAATCTCTGGGATCCAGGTGGCGGGAGGAGAGAACCAGCTTGCTCTAGGTCTGTCTTCCCGAGGCCGGGGAGGCGGGTTCTCGCTGCGTACTCCCGCCAAGTCTTTTGCGGAAGGCAAGCCTGGGGTAAAGGAGACCTTCCTTGGCCACAATCCGGCTCGAGGAGCGTACTGCTGGCAAAGCACCAACCACAATAACAAGAGTACACACGGGAAAATTCGGCGGCACTTCAAGCGCAGGTACAGAGGACGGCCGGGGCCACAGAGTCAAAAAAAAACCCGGATGCAGACGACAGGTTCTGAGCCTGTGCACGGCGACGACGTTGCTACGCACGCGTCCGGCCGGCCGGAGGTGCCGTCACGTACGGCTCGCATTCCCAGGGCCAGTTCCGGGTCGGGTCAGAGAATTGCTTCCGGGGGCTCGGAAGTGACGTAACGTATCCCTTCCTCTTCAGCTCGGCGCCTAGGAGGTGGGTCCCACGCGGAGTCCACATGAGGATCGAGAAATGTTACTTCTGTTCCGGGCCGATCTACCCGGGCCACGGCATGATGTTCGTCCGCAACGACTGCAAGGTGAGCCGGGGACAGGGGGCGCGCGCAGCTCGCGCCGGGTTCGTAGCTCGGCGGGGGTAGCCTGGGCTCACGGCCGGCGAGATCTCCTCCCTGCGATCCGACGCACGTCTCATCCCAAGGCCACCCGGGCTGCCGTAGGGTCAGGAACTCGGTCGAACGCTTGCTCAGGCGGGCTTCGTGCTGACGTCCCGGGGCATAGGGACCAGCCGGAGGTGGGAGTGTCTGCAGAGGTTAATGGACGTGGTGCTTGCGGCCTGATAGAGTTGTGTGTTGTTGCTGGAGGGGAGCTAGGAGAGACTCAGGATGCAGGGTCTCTGGGGAGCAGGCTTCCTCGCGACCTTCCCTATCCCACTTCGTCGTCAGACCTCCGGGAGCAAAACCTCCTTTAGTCAACAAGTGACGGTGCAAACTTGTTCATGACGCCGTGACCTCTCCAGTTCTCAGGTTCAGGAAGCCTCGGAGCCCCTTTCCTGGCGACACCGGGTCCTTTCTCTGAGTTCTGTGTTTCCATTTCTGTATGCGAGAGGAGAGGGAGCATCCTGTGTAGGAAGTTGCACGATTTGAGTAAAAGGTGCAGAACAGAACAGTCTCTGAAGAATTGGAGTGTAAATGACAAAGGCTTGGGGTGGGGCTGTTAATGAGAATAAGTATAGGTGACGTTGTGGCAGGCCTTCTTATATATAGTACATGCATTTGCCCTCTTTATTTGGGAGTGAATCCCATCCCTCCAATTCTCAGAATGGCATGTACATAATGTACTTTGGTCCCATTTGAGCCGGTTACGTGCAGTGCTCTTCTTGCAGGTTCTCACAGAACGATGTAAGTGAAAGGTTCCCACAGAATGATCTGAAGTATGTAAACGAAAGCTTTATGATTTGTGCAATATGTGCAGATTTTCTTAGTTTATGTTGTTCACACCTTTTCAGCTGGTGTGACTGGGTCACACATTTTAGTTATGACACTTAGTTTTTTTTTTTTTTTTGCTAGAAACCCTGTTAACCTCAAAGGCTTACTTTTCATGTTTCTTCCAGGGACACACACAGATTGTGTTCTTTTTTTTTCTTTTTTCTTTTTTTAAGTTTATTTATCTTATTTCATGTGCATTGGTGTTTTGCCTGCATGTATGTCTGTGTGAAGGTGTCAGATCCCCTGGAACAGGAGTTACAGACAGTTGTGAACTGCCATGTGGGTGCTGGGAATTGAACCCTGGTCCTCTGGAAGAGCAGTCAGTGCTCTTAACTTCTGAGCCATCTCTCCAGCCCCAGATTGCATTCTTTTTAAAGGGACTATAGGTAACAAGGTAATGTAGTTTAGGCTTGTAAAAGCCTTACTATCCATTTTAAAAACACATCGAAATGTTAGTAAACTGAAAGTTGCTGCTTCTTTGGGATGAAGATGGAAAATTAGAATAGTAAAGACTCTGACTTAGACCTGTGAATGTGATCTTTCAAAACATATCCAGCACTCAGCATGGGACCAAATGTCCGTAATCAGGGTAGGTAGAAGGCCGAGGCAGGAGGATTCCAAGTTGTAGGTCAGCCTGGACTACACAGTAAGGCTTTGTTTCAGAACAATAGCAAAAAAGCAATTCACTGCAGAACTCATAGTTAGTGATAAAATAGACATTGAAAAAGAAAAGGAAAATGACCTATTAGCAGTTTTAGTTTTGAAAATATTTTGTGCTTTCAGCCAGAAGGAAGCAAATAGGATTCAGCTTGGCTCAAAACTCACCCTCACTATGGATATAGGAAGGTGATTATGAGAATGATCACAAATCAAGAAGGGATTTCAGGCACTTTTCTTAGAGTTGGTCCTTCACCTAAGGCCAGTGTGAGGTATTATCCTCTAAAGCGATTAGTGATTGTTCCATGTCAGGGTTTTTAGCCTGCTGTCGGGGATGAGGTTTGACACCCACAAAACACTGAGTTGTCTTCTGTTCTGATGTTCTGTTCTGATTCTTGGTGTTGTCAGTAGGAGTCATCAATGAGAACTATTGTCATTTCTCAGACTTTACGAAGTTTTTGTTGGTTGGCTAGGAGGTGTATCCTGTGATAGAAACATTTTTATTGTTGACTCCAGTATTTTAACTTGAGTGTCTCGTAGGTGTTCCGATTCTGCAAATCCAAGTGTCATAAAAACTTCAAGAAGAAGCGGAACCCACGCAAGGTCAGGTGGACTAAAGCCTTCCGGAAAGCGGCTGGCAAGGAGCTCACCGTGGTGAGTACAGTTGGTGGTCGCCCGGCCTGAGTGTGGCAGCCTGCCGTGTGGTTGTGAGTGCTTTATTTGGCTATGGAAAGTCTCAATCTCGTGTGATCCCAAAATCAAAGGGAAAACTACCTACCCCAGTTTGTAGAAGTTTTTTTTAATCTCTACAAAACTGTTTTGGCTTTTGCAAAGAAAAAGAAAAAAAAAATGATTTGACTGTGTTGGGTGAAGTGGAAGTTGCCCTTTAAGGATGGAGAGGAGGTTGGGGAAGAGCTGATGTGCTCCTGAGTAGACTGAGGCTCAGTCTGAAGCAGTCATTGCCAGTTCCTGTGTGTCCTTGGGTGGGCTCTGAAAGAGACCAAGCCAGCAGGTATGGGGGAAGCCAAGGGCCAAGGGGGCGCCTTGAGAGATTTGATAGCAGGGTCTCTTGGAACTGTCCACATTTGGTCCCTGAAGAGGGAGAAGACGAAAGCTGTAGGTAGCCGTCCTTTGCTGGAGGAAGATGCTTTAAGTTGCTGTACCCTTCTGCTTGTCTCTTTCCCTAACCCTGTGACCTCTCGCCCGACTCTGTAATCCCTGGTTCCCA